GCAGGGAGCCCGATGCGGGACTCGATCCCGGGACTCCAGGATCATGACCTGAGCCGAAGGCAGTCGCTTAACCAACTGAGCCACCCAGGCGCCCCCAAATCTACCTCTTAAGTACTTCTGTCATAGCTGTACATGTTTCATTAACATATGTATGTTTCTTTTCACTTGGTTGAGACATCTTTTGAGGGTAATCGCAAATCTCATTTGTCTTGATCACTTTAGCGTCTAGCACGGTTTCTGCCATATATTCATTGCTTTAAAAATATATGCCTAATTTAATTGACTCTAGGTCCCTCTTTCAATTTACTTTTTGTAGCTATATTTTGTATGTCCCCTGATTCCTCCTGACATGTGCCTCTCTTCCGCTACCCCAACACACACACACATGCACACACACAGAGTCTGCCTTCTTTCTTTCTTTCTTCATATGCACAGCTTCTCATTTTGATTGCCAGGAAAACTCAACAGCTTAAACATGGGAAGTCTTTCATCTTACATTCACTTTCAGAGTAGCTGAGCAAATTCCCCTGATACTCAGTTCAGCATGGGTCTGGCAGAACTTTTCTAGAGTACTGTTGATACAGTCCAGGGAGAGTGGTCCTTCTGCAATGTGTAAATGAACTTACATGCCCTCTGTTGCTATTTATAATTGCACCAAAATCTAACTAAGGCCAAAATGTACAGCTCGGTCTGCTTCATTGACATTGAACAGGAATATCTTGGTATTTGGACTACTTAGAGCCAAAGCAATCAGTGACTTGGGTGTATGTGGTGTGTGTGCTTATGGAGTGGTAGGGGAAACACAGAGGATGGGAAGGTGGAAAAGTGACAATTTTTCTAATGTTCATACATTGTCTGGGTATATGGCATATTGACTGGAAGGCATGAATCAACATTTCTATACCTGATAGCACGTTATAGGAATTAAGGAAGGTGCCTTATAAACTTTTCGTAACTGACAATCTTCTATAGCTCCATGGATGAGGATGACATAGATCACAGTTTCATCATAGATATCAGTTTTGGTGTTCTTTGGTATATCTTTTACACAAACATTACAGAGTTTTAACTGCATCTTGTAGTTCCAATCCTATAAGGAAAACAATTTCATAGTCTACTGTTTATAAAGTTTAATATCAACCCCTAAATAGTTAATTGATAACAGTACTTTAATACAATTCCATTCAGAGAGAAGGATGAGTTTATATATAAACACCTCTTACCTCATAAGATAAATGTTCCCTCATTTTTTTGGCAGTAATAGAAAGTCCAAGTTTTAGCCACATTTTATACTCAATGTGAGGACAACATTGTTTAAAAGCTTCATACAAGTGATTTTTAGGAATAAAACATGTCTGAAAAATGGAGGATATAAATTTAATATTTCATTCTGCACACCTATAGTTTAAGGATAAAAGGTTTTCTCATTTACATATAACATTAAAGCTAAGAATTTAAATTCTGTAAGATTCATGTTGTTGCCTGGACACCTAATAAGATGTGTATACTAGTAAATATTTGTGTGATCTTATCATAAATTAAATATTAAAAGGTCACATGCTCCAATGAGACATTATTATTCTTACAGATTCTGCAAAAGTAGAAGACAACATATCAAAAATAATTGAAACTTTTAAACTAAAGATATAAATATTTCTAAAAATACATAATTTTAGGGGAGCAAACTTTTTAGATAACAATAAATGCCAGTGCTAACAATGAGCAGACCATTGGCTATGAGGAATAAGCTGCTACGAATATACAAGATGCTGTGTATGTTGGTTTTTATTTCTCATGGGTAAGTATGTATGAGTGAGATTGCTGGGTAATATGGTAATTGTGTGTTTAACTTTATAAGAAAATTGCCAGTCTGCTGTTAGAAGGGTTGTTAACATTTTACCCTCTCATCAGCCATGATGGAGATTTCAGCTGCTTCACATCCTTGCCAGTATCTGCTACTCATTATTTTTATTTTTAGCCAATGTAGTAGGTGTGTGGTGATATCTCATCATGATTTTAATCTGCATTTCTCTGAGAGCTAATGATATCAGGCATCTTCTTCATGTGCTTATTGGCCATTTGTATATTCTTTTGTGAAATGTTTGTTCAAATCCTTTGCCCGATTTTTAACTTGGTGTTTTGTCTTCTTATTTTTGAGTTGTAAGAATTCTTTATAGGTTCCATTGTCAAGTAATTTTTCAGATAAAGATATTGTGATACGTTTCCATTGTCTGTGGCTTGCTTTTTCCATGTTCTTTGTGGTGTCTTTTTAAAAAGCAGAAGATTTTAATTTTAGTGACATTCAATTTATCAATATTTCCTTTTATGGTTAGTGTTTTTGTGTCCTGGCTTAGAAATCTTTGCTTATCTCAAGATCTGTGTTTCCGTTTAGAATTTTTATAGTTCTAATTTTTTTTTTTAAAGATTTTTATTTATTTGTTTAACACAGAGAGAGAGAGCACAAGTAGGCAGAGCAGCAGACAGAGGGAGAAGGAGAAGCAGGCTCTCCGCCGAGCAGGGAGCCCGATGCGGGGCTCGATCCCAGGACCCTGGGATCATGACCTGAGCCGAAGGCAGCCGCTTAACGACTGAGCCACCCAGGCGCCCCTATAGCTCTAATTTTTATGTTTAAGTCTATCATCATTCCAAGTCAATTTTTGTGCACAATGTATGGGGCCGAGGCTCATAGCTTCCATATAGATATTTGGGATTTTCAGGATCATTTGTTGAAAATACTATTATTGATTATTATCATAATATTAATTAATTAATTATTATATTAATATTATTAATAATATTACTATTAATATCAATATCATATATACACAATATATGAATCTATTTCTGGATTCTCTTCCCTGTTCCACTATTCTATATTATCTTAAACTAGTACCATCTGGTGTTGATTATAATACATTTATAATAAGGCTTCAAGTCAGACAGTGTATGTCATCTAACACTATTCTTTTTAAATTTTAATTCCAGTGTAGTTAATGCTCAGTGTTATATTAATTTCAGGTGTACAATATAGTGATTCAATAATTTCATATATTACTCCAGTGCTCATCAAGATAAGTGTACTCCTAATTCTCTTCACCTATTTCACCCATCCCCCCACCCCCTTCCCTCTGGTGTCCATCTGTTTATTCTCTATAGTTAAGAGTCTGTTTTTGGTTTGTCTTTTTTCTTTGTTCATTTGTTTTGTTTCTTAAATTCCGTATATGAGTGAAATCATATGGTATTTGTCTTTCTCTGACTTATTTCGCTTAGCATTATACTCTCTAGATCCATCCATGTTGTTGCAAATGGCAAGATTTCATTCTTTTTTATGGCAGAATAATATTCCATTATATATATATATATAAAATGTGTGTGTATATATATATGTATATACACACCACAT